TCATGCTTCCGAGGGATCACTTTGTTTCCAGATTTTTATACTTCACAACAGCAGGTGTCAAGTGCTGTGTTGCAGCTGTAAAAATTTGCCCCGTACTTCACTTCAGTGTTGTTATATTTTTCTGGTCCTTCGGGATCATTGATGCCAGCACTATTGAGTGTTGAGAATTGGGTACCGCTCAAGCCGGTGCTAGGGGGCGTGAGGGATGTTGCACTTATTCATTATCCCTCATGTACAGACTCAATCAAACCGAGTCTGCAATTTTTATGTAATTTTGTTGTGATTAATGCTTCCGAGGGATCACTTTGTTTCCAGATTTTTATACTTCACAACAGCAGGTGTCAAGTGCTGTGTGGCAGCTGTAAAAAGTTGCCCCGTACTTCACTTCAGTGTTTTTATATTTTTCTGGTCCTTCGGGATCATTGATGCCAGCACTATTGAGTGTTGAGAATTGAGTACCGCTCAAGCCGGTGCTAGGGGGCGTGAGGGATGTTGCACTTATTCATTATCCCTCATGTACAGACTCAATCAAACCGAGTCTGCAATTCTTATGTAATTTTGTTGTGATTAATGCTACCGAAGGATCACTTTGTTTCCAGATTTTCATATTATATGACAGCGTGCTTTAGGATAATACCTTTATGTATATCAAACATTATTTGATTTCTGAATATTTTTGAATTTGATCTTGAAGGTCAAAAAATTGAATATTCGCTGTTTTTTTAATATTACTGAATATAACTTAGTGATTACTGAAAGGGTTATTTTCATACTAGGACAAAACAACCTTACTGTGATGATCTTTTATAGGTGTCCTTTAGTTTCTGTTGTGGGAGAGCAATAATTGTGTATTTTTATAAATCCTGGTTCAAAATCATCACACTGGAATATAATCCTTTTTACAATATCTTTTATAATCCTTTTAAGCACAACAATCCATTTGTCTTGTTTCACTTTTATTTTTAATCCTCTTTTACCTTTAACAACTTTACACTTTACAATTATCAACTTTTAACACACTTTTAAGAATACTTTTTATAATACTTTTCAGAATACTTTTACCTTTTAGAATGAATCAATGATTGAATGAACATTGACAAAATACTTACAATATATACCATCAAAGATTATACTAGATGAAATTACTAGTATATTCTAAACTACTATAGAATTCAACAGAACAAATACATCAATCATTTCTAGAAGTTTCTAGATAATTATAAACGTTATACATCATTGATCATAAATACAAATCCCTTAACAATTTACCACTATGAAATGAAAAACCAATACATTTATAATCCTAATCCCTATTCAAATAATAACAAAAGGAGATAATCGCGATCATTCGCGACACTTACGGATAATACCTTGTGAAACGTTGAACTGACTTCTCACCTCAAGCTATAAATGACCTTTACAATAAAGGTCAAATTATTAAATTTTTGATAAATTGCTTTAAGTTTGTTGTTTATGTATTGAATCAGATAAAACAAGACTTGCTACAAAAAAGCATATCAAATATGGAATAATTTGACCTCGACCTTTAATTGACCATGACAGTCAATGTCAATTTCGGTAAAAAAAATATTTTTTATTTTTTTTATGTACGGAGTTGAATTTTACCTGAAAAAACAAACTTGCTACCAAGCAAGCATTTTGAATAATTTAAAGATGACCTTGGACCATTTTAACATTGACAGTCAATGTCAAATTAGTGAATTTATTTTTTTTATTCTTTTTTTATTTTGTAGTAATATGATTTGGACCATGTGCACAGTTTTAAATGTTTATTTGAACTTTTATGTTAACTGACATTTTTAATGAAAATGTTACTTCCTTACGCATTTTTTTTTCAATCCCTTTTTTGAAGAATCTTTTAAACTCATATATAAACTACTGGCGTAATTTTATCCAAACTTTACAGGAATGATCAGTACCAAGTCTAGGTTTGCACTGTCTGTCTGTCTGTCTGTCCGTCTGTCACAATACTTGTCCCAACTACTCCTCAGAAACTACTGGGGCAATTTCATCCTAACTTTACAGGAATTTATGTCGCCACTACTCCGATCACTTCTCCGTCTGTCACAAAACTTGTCCCAACATGAAATTGGCCATCATGAGGCGACACATGTGATCAATGATCGCTCTTGTAATTTATTTTGGAAGTACTTGATAAACAATTTTACAAATTGTAAACTTCTGTTGTAGTGAAGGTAAAGGGGAAGAAATGATGGTCTGTGGAAAATGTGCTGGTACTTAGTTTCCTTTTAGCTTGACAAAATACTTAGCGCACAAAATTGAACGTAAATGATGGCATTGTGTCCATTATTTGTCATTATCCACCAATTATTTAAACAATACACTTGTGTTTGAAACTGATGGTAATGTTTACCCTCTTGGTAAGGGATATCAAACTAACATTTTTTTTATTTTAGGAGTACCGGGTAGTTAAGGCAAATGTGGGGGTAAAATACCCCTTTATGAAGTTAATGTATCATCTCAAAAACTACATGGTGGATTTTAACAAAACTGCACAAGAGTGATCTTCAGGAACATAGCCCTGAGGTCATTAGGTTTTTAAAAGAACCCCTATTGCATAGGAAAAATTTCTTAAAAATTGTCCGACACTTATTGGCTAGTTAAAATTGGTTTAAACTACATGTAGTATTTCTGAAGTGAATGTGTTGTGTGATCTTGACCATATGATGTCCTCACTTGTAAAACATAGTGTCCTCATTATGAGGCCTACACACTTGTCCTCATTTGTAAATACACTTAAATAGATGTAAGCTTATCCTATAATAAGGCATATTTGTGTTGACACTTGCCTAAAAACTTCATTTATCAAAAACATTATGATTTAGGCCAGTCTCCACCAGTCTGTTTTGCTCCCACAGATGGTGCTCTTGTTGTTATTGCATTTTCAATTACCATCCATGAACAGCCTCAATCAAACCATGCGGCTATATACAACATTTTTGCTGTTTTCGGCGGTTTTTAGGGATGTCATATTCCTGTGTTAAAGCAGTAAATGGAATCGATGGCTCCGAAGGATTAAAACAACACTTAAATGAAAAACGGGAAAATTTTTACAACCGCCTCACGGCACTAAGACACCTGTTGTTTTGCAGTATAAAAAGAAATCTGAAACGCACACGTAAGAAAACGCAACAATATACGAGCAGGCCTTTAAAGCAGCACGCCTCCAGATTTACGCTAAATTTCATGAAAATTTTGAAAATATATTTGAATGTGTACTATTGTGAAGTTACCTAAAGGATATCAATGGCACTTACAAACCACGTAAATTACCAAAAAGTCGTCAAAATATGCATAAATTGCCTCTACTGCGTTAGTAACGCAGTAGAAATATTGATGTAAATTATGAAAAATAAGTAATTAATCGAACAAGTATAGTGTGATATATTGAATGCAGTAAATAGAGGATATTGAATGAATGTAAGTTCAATACTAAATCTATTGCACGAGTTGAATAAAATTATATTATGCGGGCCTCTGGCGGGCATATTATTATTTTATTCAACGAGTGCAATAAATTCAGTAATGAACTTACACGAATTTAATATTCTATTTATCACATACCAAAAATTAAGACCGTTTAAAATGATCATTGACGCGCCTATAGTATAACGCTAACATTTAGCGCGTCTTTACACTATGTTTGTATAACGCTAATGACGTCACGTCAAAATATATGCACGGTCGTGCAATAACATATTTATGGAGTCGCAAAATCGGCACGGGTGTGTGATAAGTAACAATAGAAGAAAGAGAGTGTTGACTAAATTGTTTAGGTAATTTCCTCTCCACCAAGAGATCGTGAGATTAAACACAACTGTGACTGCGACCATGCTTCCTCATACTATATCAGTGCATGTTGTTAAAAATATGGAAGCGGACAATTAGCGTGGCTCTAATAATCGTCACATATTCCAAACATTCATGAAGGAAGTATCAAGTGCAAAATATTTGGTGCGGAGAATGTCACTTACTATATATATGTGTGATTCGGAACATCATGGTCCACATTATTTTATTAATGATAAGTTGTATATGAGAATGTAATGCCTACTATAGAAACAATAGATCTCCGTTGCGCAAAGAAAATTTTCATTTTGCAAAAATGTAGTTCTTAACCACAGGATAGTATAAGTTCGAACTCAAATATGACTACCACCATGCGACCTGAAATACTATCAGTACATGTTTCATGGAAATGGAAAATAAGAGTGGTTCTAATAATATTCAAGCATTCCCAGCATTCATACTTGAAATAGAGAATCTAGATCTATCAATAATCATAAATCATCTGGGAAGTGTAATTTCGTACACAGACACTTGGGGTATGCTTCGGAACATCATGATCTACATTATTATTAATGGAAGTTTAGAACTCATCAGAGACTTAATTACCAATTATCTGCATATAAATCCATGATCATTATCATTACTTTTTCGTTATGAATGTGGCAATATGCATCACACCATATATTTCACAGGACCTTGAAATTCTACCAATAATCGCCCTAAAGTCCAATTTAAAAAAAATCCATTCCTATATATATATATATATATATATATATATATATATAAAGGGAGATATGATAACAGAGAACAAACTCTATATATGTGAATGTTGAGCTTGTTTCAATGTGTAGTGCAGTTTGTGACTGTATATAAAGCTGTTCTGAAACCATCATTTTTGTGATGGTGGATGAGCAGTGGCTATGCTTTCATGACTGTTCTGCTAGGCGCTGTGCCGTAATTGGACTTGCATATCGATGTGGTGGTATGTGTGTATATATTCTCTCATTTCTATATATATATATATATATATATATATATATATATATATATATATATATATATATATATATATAAACTATATAGATCTATAGGTATGGATTTTTTTAATTGGACTAGGCGATTATAAATTGATAGAACTTCAAGGTCCTGTGTATATTTATACAGCGAGTACATTTTATATTTTCTTGTAGATCTTAACAATTAATATGTTAAATAGCGACCTTGAACTATTGTTTAAATAGAGTGCAATAAAATTTGTTACTTTTTGCAGACGTCATTGTTCTTTTCACATCTGTATGAAATCAAAATTTGCTTTGATTCAAGCAATATTGGTTTCTGTACTACAGTAGGCCTAGGCTACGCTGTGTCCGTTGCGCTAATAAAATGGAATAAAATCCCCTTTGCGTAATTAGTAAGACAACTCGTGACCTAAATTCAATGGCTGCCGGCAAAGTTTGAAAATAAAGATTAAACCATTAAAGGTAACTATTCATTGTAAACCAATGTTTAAATAAATCATCTGGTATTTTTTTTTGTTTATGGTGCACTTTATGAGTAATATGAAGACAGAACATCCTTCCTCGCTCCTGATGACCCGAAACACTTCGAATGCCAGACGTTTCGCTCCCAAGACATTTCGGTATCATTGTTCTAAAGGGTTAACAAATGTTCATTTATTTATGATAGTGAAAGTACAGAATTTCCCTGAAGACAAAGTATTATGGAGTTCTATGAGTGAATTTTCAGCCTGAAAAGGTACTCAATTTTGACGCTTTTGCTTTTACCATAAACGAGGTATACAATGATTGGTAATGAATAATGCTTTTTACATTAGGTAATAAAAAGTGAGCCTTTAACTACATACTAACACTATTGGCACGTAGTCAACAATCATTGTATGGACATGATGTTATTGAATTTTAGTGTGTTTTTTGACAAGTAAATGAAGAATAGCCGCATATTAGTCCAGTCGACTTAGTGGACCACTGATGAATCCGAATAAGGTGACTCATTTCCATAAATTTGTTTAATAAATAATGAGTTGTTATCTCCTGGCTCCGTCTCCCAATTACGAAGATTTACATGATAATTATCCGCAATGTCCTAGTCTGTCGTTAGAGACACATGTTAATAAAGATGCTCCGCAATTTTGCCAAAAAAAAAATGAATACGAGTAAGCGTTGTATGATCTATAAATAATGATCGGAAGGGAATAAATAAATAAATAAAAAGAATATTTAAAAAAAAACGGTGAAAAGGAAAAATAATTTAATAATGCAAATTTTCCTTAATGATGGACGATGGACAAACTTCTATACCGTCGGTAATTGACGCAACTATCAGAGCCCGACAACAATTATTTTCGGTGTTTTTTTTTCAATTTAAAAATTAAACTTAATGAAACAAAAAAGGATTATTATCAAAATTTCGTAAACTATTTCAATTAATGTTATTTAACTGCAACCAAACGCTATTTTTTCTTGATGTCTTGAGATGACAAAGTACGTACATTCTTTACTGTAGCCAACACGTCGATTAATCTCTTAAAAGTAAACATTCTTGGCTATAATCCTCGCTTAAAGTCATAATTAACATATGCACTTTCGCCTTCCATATATTTTTGAAAAGTGCCGTACGGCTAGCCAATACAGTGTGTCCTGGCTAGTCGTACGTGACTCACGTACGGCTAGAACTTTTGGCGGGCCCGTACGGCTAGCCACTTCCTTTTTTAAAATCTTGAATAAACTGTTGAAAATCGTTGAATAGACGATTGTGAAATTTTCTACAATTTTTAGTGGCCCTGATTTATCTTTAACAAATTTTCCATGGTGATTACCCTGCTGTTTGAATTTATGTTAAAATATACCTTGGAGTGACCCGAGTGGGTCATATTGTTTTTATTTAATTTCTAAGAAAGATCAAGACTTGTTGAAAATGTACCAACCTGAAAATGATTAAGTGTTGATAGATGCATTAATAGCTAAAATAAATTTAAAGTATAATTTCCCCTTCCATTTACTATTGGCTAAAAACCGCTTAACTGATTGAATATTGGTTGTCCCGGGATAACTTCAATTAATTTAAGACCATCCAAAATAGAATTTCTGCATATTTGACAGTTTTGATGAATTTTTTCAGTATGTGCATGTATCCTCATTCAACAATATTTATGCGTGCAATTAGAAATTTTATGCACAAATCACTCACTGTTATGTTGTACACATAGCCTTTAATTCATCTAAGTTTTTTTCGAGTACCACATGATAGGTCGGGATAATTATCCACAGCTGTGGTACAGAACGCACAATATTCGGTAATAGGGATTATATCAAACTTAGAGGGATACGAAAAACCGCTTCTGTTTTGATATTTGTATTTATTTGTGACACTTGAACAGTTGAAATTATAAATGATTTAATAATAATGTTATATATAAATTAATTAATAGATCTATATATATATGATGACCAATTAATCAAAATAAAATAGTGAAAAACAGAATCCCTAAAGAAAGCCCAGCATGGCAAAATTGTAAAATGTTGCAGGTTCGGTTGGATTGAGCCTGTTCATGGACGGTACTGGAAAGTGCAAGTTACTGTCCACGCCCCCTAGCACCGGCTTAAGCAGAATTCAACATTTAAACACAAAAATGGTGAAATTTGGAATTAAGAAACATCCGCAAATGTGTTCATAAGGCAGTCATCATAAAAACCTTCAGTAGTGTCAAAATATTCCATGAAAAGCGAATATGGTCCCCAAGTAAAAGAATGCATGTGCCCTTAGACAAGAAAACAAATTGGCGGAACTAAATAAAATGGAATTTAGAAAGGGGATCTGAGGGTATGAAGCCTGCATATCACAGACAGGATGTCAAAACACAAATAAACTTGAGTTTGAATGAAATATAATAGGGGCCTTCTCTATCATCTATGACAAAAATTGAAATACCACCCCGGGCAAACCGGATACCTGGATATTTCTGGACCACTGTGGAGTGTGGTGACATATGACTATTTGAAACTCCATTACTACTACATGACATGATATAATGACACTTTTGTTAACATTTTATTGACATAATAAGATATCAGTGGTAATGGATTTACACATATATTCTATCTACAGGTTATTTGATGTTTTATTTCATTTTTGTCATTTTACCATCTTGTGGCTAACTTGTGGCTTTAAACATATTTGAATCTATACATGCAAATATATACATGTAAGTTGTGAACGACTTGTTGTTTTAAAACCAAATAAACTTTCTTTATAACATGTATATTCTATGTACAAACATGTATTATATGCTTGTAATATAAAGATGAAAAATTACTTTTCAGAAATGGATCTTAGACACAGCAATAGAAACAAATCAAAAAGAACTCTTAAGTGTCATAAAAAGTCAGCAGAAGAAAAGGGGCTTCTTGAGATAAAATTTATTGATTCTTTCATAGGTGAGTTGAGTAAGGACATTTGTGTCGCCTCTACGGAGTAGTGGCGACATATAGGGATCACTTCTCCGTCGTCTGTCTGTCCGTCCGTCACAGAACTTGTCCAGACTACTCCCCATAAACAACTGGTGCAATTTCATTCAAACTTTACAGGAATGATCAGTACCAAGTCTAGTTGTGCATATTGTCAGCATTTTCCGATTCAATGATTTTTGTAAGAGTTATGGCCCTTTAATAATTTTTATTTTTAAAGTTTGTCTGGACTACTTCTCTTATACCACTAATGCAATTTCAATGAAACTTTACAGGATTGATCTGTAGCCCAAGTCATTGGGCATATTGCACAGGTTTTCTGGTTGAATGATTTTTGGCTGAGTTATGGCCCTTTAATAAAAAGGTGTTTTTTTCTGTGTGTTGCCAGATACACAAAACCTTGTCCGGACTACTTCTCATAATCTGCTGGTGCAATTTTATCCAAACTTTACAGGAATGATCAGTACCAAGCCTAGTTGTGCACTGTCTGTCTGTCTGTCCGTCTGTCAAAAAACTTGTCCCCACTACTCCTCAGAAACTACTGGGGCAATTTCATCCTAACTTTACAGGAATTTATGTCGCCACTACTCCGATCACTTCTCCGTCTGTCACAAAACTTGTCCCAACATGAAATTGGCCATCATGAGGCAACACATGTGATCACTGATCGCTCTTGTAATTTATTTTGGAAGTACTTGATAAACAATTTTACAAATTGTAAACTTCTGTTGTAGTGAAGGTAAAGGGGAAGAAATGATGTTCTGTGGAAAATGTGCTGGTACTTAGTTTCCTTTTAGCTTGACAAAATACTTAGTGCACAAAATTGAACGTAAATGATGGCATTGTGTCCATTATTTGTCATTATCCACCAATTCTTTAAACAATACACTTGTGTTTGAAACTGAGGGTAATGTTTACCCTCTTGGTAAGGGATATCAAACCAACATTTTTTTTTATTTTAGGAGTACCGGGTAGTTAAGGCAAATGAGGGGGTAATTTAATACCCCTTTATGAAGTTATTGTATTATCTCAAAAATCACATGGTGGATTTTAACCAAACTGCACAAGAGTGTTCTTCAGGAACAATTAGCCCTGAGGTCATTAGGTTTTTAAAAGAACCACTATTGCATAGGAAAAATTTCTTAAAAATTGTCCGACACTTATTGGCAGTTAAAATTGGTTTGAACTACATGTACATAGTATTTCTGAAGTGAATGTGTTGTGTGATCTTGACCATATGATGTCCTCACTTGTATAACATAGTGTCCTCATTATGAGGCCTACACACTTGTCCTCATTTGTAAATACACTTAAATAGATGTAAGCTTATCCTATAATAAGGCATATTTGTGCTGACACTTGCCTAAAAACTTCATTTATCAAAAACATAATGATTTAGGCCAGTCACCACCAGTCTGTTTTGCTCCCACAGATGGTGCTCTTGTTGTTATTTAAACTTAAAAGGATATTTGTTGATTCAGGGGAGTAAATGAGAGTATAAAATATGCATTTTATAAGTCAGTTGTATGTGGCTTTACACAGTTATGATAATGAAGTAACTCAAAACAATTTCAGGTTCTGGAGATTATGATTTGAAAGCGGTCAAAGCCTTAGAGAAAGGAGAATTGATATGCAAGTATTATGGAGTTCTTATGAGTTGAAGTTTTTCAGACCTGAAAGAGGGGACTGGCAGTTTTCTTTTCTTTTCCAAACATAAAAGGAAGAATTTTTGGTAAGATATAATTGCTGTCTTTATCAGTTCATATAAATAGGAGCTTTAAATAGTAAAAACTATTGGACTTACATGTGATGGCAGATATGATTTATAGTTGTGTTTTCGACAAACATAGTCACTCCAGATGATTAGAAAACCGGCATATTATAGCCCACATCTAATTAGGGGCCATGATGGAATCAGGATAATGGTGATGGAATATTCATTTTAGCTCGTCCCTACTATACAAAGTATATGGAGAGCTGTCTTACTCGCCCTGGCGTCCGCGTCCAGATTAAAGATAGGGTACATGTATATTGTTTTGCAATGTCAGTCTGTCTGTCTGTTAGTAGACCACATGGTTTATGCTGATTATCTGGAAAAAAAAATTATCATAAAGTCTTCATATTTTACATAATGACTGGTCATAACTAGTAAATTACCCCTATTGATTTTGTTAGCACTAGGTCAAAGGTCAAGATCAGCACTAGGTCAAAGGTCAAGATCACAGGGGCCTTAAATGTCAGAATTGTTTCTGTTATTTTATTGAAATTTCCAAAATTTCAAACAGTTAAGAAGAAATTTTAAAATGAACACGTTTACTATCATGAAAAAATCACTCTTATTTGTCAGGCATATTTAAGTAAATACTGGTTGATTAAATGACCCCCAGGTGATCAGGATTATACTAAAGCAGATGCCCATGCCATGTAAAAACCACAGAGGCAAGTGACTTTAGTAGTTTGCCCAGCTCGCAAGTGATATTTTTTAGTGAAATTTTTATTCTCTATAATTCCCTTCCAAATATTACTTTTCTTTGCATTGACATATGTTTCACATTAGCGTTTTTTAGCTCACCTGAGCATATGCTCAGGGTGAGCTATTAGGATCACTCTTCGTCTGTCGTCCGTCGTACGTTGTCCGTTCACACTTTTCAAACGACATCTCCTCTGAAACCATAAGGCAGATCATAATGAAACTTCACAGGGATGTTCCTTGTGTGAAGCCTTAACAAAGTTGTTCAAAGAATTCCATTCCATGCAGAACTCTGGTTGCCATGGCAACCAAAAGAAAAAACTTTAAACATCTTCTTCTAGAAAACCCAAAGAGCTAGAGCATAGATATTTGGTATGAAACATCTTCTAGTGAGTGTCTACCAAGATTGTTCAAATAAAAGCCCTGGGGTCAAAATTGGCCCCGCCCCAGGGGGTCATTGATTTTCCCTATATGCATATAGTAAAAACTTTAAAAAATCTTCTTTTAAAGAACCCAAAGAGCTAGATCTAAGATATTAAGCATGAAACATCTTCTAATGAGTGTCTACCAAGATTGTTCAAATAAAAGCCCTGGGGTCAAAATTGGCCCCGCCCCAGGGGGTCATTGATTTTCCTTATATGCATATAGTAAAAACTTAAAAAAATCTTCTTCTAAAAAAACCCAAAGAGCTAGAGCTTAGATATTTGGCATTAAACATGTTCTAATGGATGTCTACCAAGTTTGTTCAAATAAAAGCCCAGGGGTCAAAATTGGCCCAGCCCCAGGGGGTCATTGATTTTCCCTATATGCATATAGTAAAAACTTTAAAAAAATCTTCTTTTAAAGAACCCAAAGAGCTAGATCTAAGATATTAAGCATGAAACATCTTCTAATGAGTGTCTACCAAGATTGTTCAAATAAAAGCCCTGGGGTCAAAATTGGCCCAGCCCCAGGGGGTCATTGATTTTCCCTATATGCATTTAGTAAAAACTTAAAAAAATCTTCTCTTAAAGAACCCAAAGAGCTAGACTTAAGATATTAAGCATGAAACATCTTCTTATCAGTGTCTACCAAGTGTCTACCCAAAGAGCTAGAGCATAGATATTTGGTATGAAACATCTTCTAGTGAGTGTCTACCAAGATTGTTCAAATAAAAGCCCTGGGGTCAAAATTGGCCCCGCCCCAGGGGGTCATTGATTTTCCCTATATGCATATATTAAAAACTTAAAAAAATTTTTTTAAAGAACCCAAAGAGATAGAGCTAAGATATTTAGCATGAAACATGTTCTAATGGATGTCTACCAAGTTTGTTCAAATAAAAGCCCTTGGGTCAAAATTGGCCCTGCCAGGGAGAGGGGGGTGGGGGGGCAAAAGTCATTATTATTCATTATTTGTGTATAGTAAAAACTTAACATCATGAAATATCTTCTAATGGGTGTCTTCCAAGTTTGTTCAAATAAAAGCCGTTTGGTTTAAACTGGCCCGGCCCTGGGGGCCTATGTTCAGGTGAGCGACCCCAGGGCCATCATGGCCCTCTTATTTAAGTGTTTTGATTAGTTATTTGATTTTTTTTATTGACCAACCTTGTTAAAACATTTCCATTGCTGCAGCAGTCTTGCCAATAATTATATGGCCGACTGCGAAAAATTAAGTTAAATAGATGAAGATGTGTTACAGGTTTCACAAAATTTATATGTATAACTAATACTATAGAGGTATAATGACAATTGCATAATAGTTTCAAATTATTGTTGTTATAAATACTAAATGTGAAAATTGACTTTAAATAATTAATTTGGGAGTGTAAATCTCCTTTGAAGTTACCGATAAAAAAGAGACCTAAAGAGGTGAAACATATACAAATTTGTGTAATTTTCATCACTAATATCATTGACCGGTCCTAAGAAAGGAGATTAGCCAATCAGATATCTGAGCAAGAACTGGTGTCAAAACAAATGAGAAATGAGCAATAAAATTGAACCATATTCAGTGCAAATAGTAAACAATAGATATAAGTGGGATTTTACTTACTGTGACCTAAGAATCATCTGGTTTTTCAAAATCATATTGGTATATTATTTGTATCATGAAAATAAATATTGCAATTAATGAGACACTGCAGTAAATTTATTAATGAATATTAAGAGGACATTTTTTTTTTGAGTGAAATATGGAATATATTTTCACGAAACATGATAAAATGCCACATATTTTCACGAGCCGGAACAGCGAGTGAAAATATGTGGCATTTTATCTTGTTGAGTGAAAATATATACCATATTTCATGAAAAAATAAAAAATAACCTTTTTATTTAATTTCATTATCAAAGAAAAATGGTTACGAACCCCATTGTTTGCTATGCAGCTGCAATTGTACAGCGCGCAGTAATATATGATTGCGTCTTGTTATGCACGCGATATTTGGCGCTACATTGTGACGTCACGTAAACAACTCTTTAAGCGTCTGTACAGCGTTTATATATTGAGGTTCCGATTTATTTTCTTAGACCATTTTCTATCAATCTAGATAGTTTTCAATGCAAAATTCAACAAAGTGTTGTTTCGTATTTATCAGATTTTTCAAACCAAATAGCGAAAGAAGTCCCTTAAAATCAATATGAGTTTTGACTCCACCTACTTTCATATTTATATTTCATATTTAATTTTTAGCTTGACTATTCGCAGAATAATCGAGCTAATGCAGTCACCCATTTGTCGGAATCTCCGTCCCTGTGGTTAAGTTTTTGCATGTAAGCTGGTATCTCCATAACTACTGAATGGAATGGATTGAAACTTCACACACATGTTCTCTGTGATTATCTAAGATGATTGGCACAAGTCCCATAACTCTGATTGGCTTTTTAACATAATTATGCCCCTTTTTCGACTTAGAAATTCTTGGTTAAGTTTTTGCGTGTAAGCTGGTATCTCCATAACTACTGAAGGGAACCGATTGAAACTTCACACACTTGTTCTCTGTGATTATCTAAGATGATTGGCACAAGTCCCATAACTCTGATTGGCTTTTTAACATAATTATGCCCCTTTTTCGACTTAGAAATTATTGGTTAAGTTTTTGCGTGTAAGCTGGTATCTCCATAACTACTGAAGAGAATGGATTGAAACTTCACACACTTGTTCTCTGTGATTATCTAAGATGGTTGGCACAAGTCCCATAACTCTGATTTGCTTTTTTACATAATTATGCCCCTTTTTCGACTTAGAAATTCTTGGTTAAGTTTTTGCATGTAAGCAGGTATCTCCATAACTACTGAAGGGAATGGATTGAAACTGCACACACAATTATCTAAGATGATTGACACAAATCCCATAACTCTGATTTGCCTTTTTACATAATTTATGATGGCCCTTTTTCGACTTAGAAATTCTTGGTGTAAGCTGGTATCTCCATAACTCCTGAAGGGAATGGATTGAAACTTCACACACTTGTTCTTTGTGATTATCTAAGATGATTGGCACAAGTCCCATAACTCTGATTTGCTTTTTTACATAATTATGCCCCTTTTTCAACTTAGAAATCCTTGGTTAAGTTTTTGCATGTAAGCTGGTATCTCCATAACTACTGAAGGGAATCGATTGAAACTTCACACACTTGTTCTCTGTGATAATCTAAGATGATTGGCACAAGTCCCATAACTCTGATTTGCTTTTTTGCATAATTATGCCCATTTTTCGACTGAGAAATTCTAGATAAATTTTTGCTTGTAAACTGTTATCTCCATAACTACTGAAGGGTTTGTACCTTTTCGGACAATTTTATGTTTTCATATAGGTAAGCATTATTATACTCAATGAAACACCCCTGTGACAACTTTTCGAATAGTCGAGCGTTACTATCCTCTGCTGACAGTTCTTGTTAAAAAAAATGAAATATATTTGACTGATATAGCCCCATATTTCATGGGTAAAATTAAATAGAGGATATTCAATTTTTTTCTATAAATACATGATTTATTTTCATTGAGTGGTATGAAAATAAATATTTCATGAGTGGCGGTAGCCACGAGTGAAATATGGTAATTTTTATGCCACAAGATGAAAATAAATTGTGTATTTATAGAAAAAACTTGAATTTTCTGTTTATTATATACATTTTTCTCCTTTTTGATATTAAAATTTGAAAGACTTTCCCTTAAATTTTGTGTACTGGCAGAATTTAAAAGATAGTAGTCCGGCAAGACACCAGTGAAAATACGGAAATGAAAATACACATTTTATTTCATCAATATTTCATTTATAAGTATATAATAAAAGTGAATATTAATTGTAAGCAAATAAACAGTTCTATAGTATTCACAACGTGTGAAAATATCATTTTATAGAATGTTGTTTTGAGACAGTTTATCAACTAATGAAGTCCTCATTTGTGTTACACACTGTCCTCACTTTGATGCATACACCCTTGTCCTCATTTGTAAGTACATAGAATACATAGAGTATATTTGTTGTTTTTGTGCCCCCACTTTAGTGGCATTTAGATTTACCCTTGTCCATCCTTCCGTTCGTCCGTTCTCTTTTTTGTCGCATGTAACTCAAAAAGTATGTGACCTAGAGTCATTAAACTTTACAGGAATGTTGATCACTGTGTGTAGTTGTGCACCTGGGTATTTTTGTCTGGATATTTTTAGTATTTTTAGAGTTATTGCCCTTGACTTAGTAAAATTTTGCAATTTTCAACTTATGTTGCATGTATTTCAAAAAGTATTTGACCTAGAGTCATGAAACTTTACAGGAATGTTGATCAGCATGTGTAGTTGTGCACCTGGGTATTTTCGTCTGATTTTTTTTAGTATTTTTAGAGTTATTGCCCTTGACTTAGTAAAACTTTGCAAATATTTCATGGGTGAAATTGAATAAAAGTGAATTTTAATTGTAAGCAAATAAAACCAGTTCTATAGTATTCACAACTTGTGAAAATATCATTTTATAGAATGTTGTTTTGAGACAGTTTATCAAGTAATGAAGTCCTCATTTGTGTTACACACTGTCCTCACTTTGATCCATACACCCTTGTCCTCATTTGTAAGTACACAGAATACATAGAGTATATTTGTTGTTTTTGTGCCCCCACTTTAGTGGCGGGCATTTAGATTTACCCTTGTCCGTCCGTCCATTTGATATTTATGAGCTTCATTCCGTAGTTAAATAAAGAACAAAAACTAATAAAATTCAAATTAAGAGCTATTTTTTGTTTTTATGAGCTAATTTTGCTTATGGACTTTGGTCCAGGTGGTGTTTATGAGCTGATTTGCCTCATAAATGTCAAAAGTTGGTATGTCCGTCCGTCTGTACGTCCCAAAATCTTGTGAACGCAACTCCTCTTAAACCGGATGGCAGATTTTGCTTAAACTTCCAGGGATGAACAACCTTAATGTGTAGATGGCAGTAAAGGAAGGAATTTTTGCTGCGACCAAATTTAACAGAATTATGGCCCTTTGTTGATTTTTTCACTATATACTATGTAGAATTTTGTGAACGCAACTCCTCTTAAACCGGATGGCAGATTTTGCTTAAACTTCCAGGGATGAAAAACCTTAATGTGTAGATGGCAGTTAAGGGAGGAATTTTTGCTGCGACCAAATTTAACAGAATTATGGCCCTTTGTTGATTTTTTCACTATATCCTTTGTAGAAATTTTGTCAACTCTTAATCCGGATGGCAGATTTTGCTTAAACTTCTAGGGATGAACAACCTTAGTGTGTAGATGGTAGTAAAGGAAGGAATTTTTGCTGCGACCAAATTTAACAGAATTATGGCCCTTTGTTGATTTTGTCACTATATACTATGTAGAAATTTTGTGAACGCAACTCCTCTTAAACCGGATGGCAAATTTTGCTTAAACTTCTAGGGATGAACAACCTTAATGTGTAGATGGTAGTAAAGGAAGGAATTTTTGCTGCGACCAAATTAAACAGAATTATGGCCCTTTGTTGGTTTTCAACTTGTGGCACATGTAGTCCAAAAAATATTTGACCTAGAGTCATAAGATTAACAGAGCAATGGCATGTGGGGACATCCGTGTCCTAGGGACACATTTCTAGTTTTATATACACTTTTAAGTGGTAATTTTCCAAATACCGTAAGTCTCAGTTACTCAACTGGAAGCCCTAACTGCGGATTTGTGTAAATGGTGCCAGTAAGTTGTATCAAATAATTCCTTAGCATGTATTATAAATACTGATTGTTGCTAGTATTAGAACATAGAATAAGAAAGATTTATCTGATTGTATGAAAAATTGATGTTTGATCTTGAAATAACTGGTTGTTCCAAAATATAGAAGACTGACCTTTGAAATTGGATATCAGGCCAATCATATAAACATTGTGAAGAGAAAATCATCAAATTTAACGCTGCCAATGAACAAAAAATTATAATCACTTGAGTGTCCAGTGTGGAGCAATTATTTTTGGCCCAAATTCAGCCACTTTTCATTCATTATAAAGAAAAAAAAGGTCATAGGGAACACTCAGAGTTATAACAAATTATTGCTTGCAAGGAACTCATTTTTTTCTCCCAAGTAGAAATAGCCAGAAAATTACATGGTTACAAAGAACTCCAAATTATTGACTAAAGATTTATAAATCCTTATTCTGCACTTTCATTTTCATCGGCACAGACTAAAAATTCGGCAAAATGTATAGAATAATTTTACAACTTTAAATGTTAGTACAGACAAATGATTGCATCTTATCTTTGCAACACCTGTAACAATGAGATCAATCATCAGTGTGTACCAGAGGTGCAAATATCTTTACAAACAATGAATGAAAAAATATCATAAATAATTCTCATAAAGAAACACATTTAAAAATCAAACATTTCTTCAAAGTTAAGTGATGTAAATAATTATTGATTTAAATGCAATAAACAGTCAACTCTCTTTATCTGGAAGTTGTTGGGACTGTTGAAAAAGTTAAGATTGTGAAAAGTTTAGATAATATAATTGGCTTAAATTTGACCTGAAACTGACAAATTATGTCATATTTGTGTTGTACCTCTCATCAACAGTGTTTTTACATCTTTACACTCTTTGTAGATGCGTTTGTATAGAATCTTCCATAAATGATGTTTTTATTTTGTTGTCCTATCTATTAGTTTACGCAGTTTCTACAAAGTTTATTATACCACCATTATTGTGTGTTATGTTTGTTCAAATTATAATTTTAGATACTGAGAAATTCAAAATAAAAAGGGTCGAGTTAAACAAACAAATTGTATATAATATAGACAAAGAAGGAAAAAATTTGGACTTGGAAATTTTGATCAAGATAATAAAAATAGAGAAAAGGTTTGTCCATGTAATATTGGGAGCTGACTGTATAATCATATTTTTTATCCTGTCTGATAATTATTATTACTTTTTTATTAAACAGGGCTTTTACAAACTCTTCAGAGAGTTCAAACATGAAGATTTTACAGTTGAAGCCAAAGTACTTGTTGTACCTGCAAGTAAGTGCGATCTTGTATTTTTTAGCCCATTTCATTTCATTCATTGATTTGATGTTGAATTGTTTTTTACTCAACTTCTATATCAGCAGTACAGTTTTTGTTTACAAATCACACAAATGTAATACTAGAACTATAATTTTCCTTTTTGTGTCGCCTTGAAAAGGCAACATATAGGGTTTACTTTTGTCGGCGGTGTCGTTGTCGGCATCCCCTAAAGCTTGTCCGGAGCATAACTCAGACACTGTTAGTCGGATTGACTTCAAACTTAGTATGCATGCTTTTTTCAATTACCCAAAGTGCAGTGCACAAGGACCGGTACTATGCACTTCTTAATTTTTGAGTTATTGCCCTTTGTAAATTTTCATACTTTAATTTTGCCCGGGCCATTTCTCTTCAACTATAAAAGTTATACACTTGAAACTTCATAGGATGATAGATTTCATTAAGAAAAGGTGCAGTGCATAAGAACGGGTACTCTGCACTTCCTAATTTTTGAGTTATTTCCCTTTGTTAATTTTCATACTTTATTTTTGTCGGGGGCCATTTCTCCTAATGTATAAAAGCTATGGACTTGAAACTTCATATATAGATCTCATTACGAAGAAGTGCAGTGCACAAGATCCAGTACTCTGCATTTCTTATTTTTTGAGTTATTACCCTTTTCAGCCTGACCGGGATTTGAACCCGGGACCCACAAAGTACCATACCATAACTTGAACAACTGAGCTATAATGGCCACTTACACATTTTCTCCCCTTAACAGTGAACAGTTATGAACCATGACATAATCCTACAAATTAAATACAAATAATATGTATTTAAAATCTTCAAGAAAAGTTTTGTTATCATTATGAATAAATGCAAATTAAGTAAATGGAAATCTTATCCATTAGGGAGGTGATCTGTTGTTGACTTGTAACATCTTGATCTTGTGATCCAAGGATCATGAGATAACTAAGATCCCTGAATCTTCACCATGATAAAATTTGTCAACAATCTTACAGATGGGACCAAACTGCTAGGACCAGGGTTGCATTTGAAACTAGGCAACTGCTGTATATCTAAGTTCCCTGGATTCATGCTATATCTCACCCTTACACTTTATCTTTTCTCTTAGAATAATGATATAAGTGTCAAATAATGTGTTTTACTCTATTATCATACACCAAAATATTTTTCCAGGAAGTTGTGACTGTTATGAAATATATTTAACTAACAAAACTCAGATTTTTTAACAAATCAAAGTCATTAAAATTAATAATTACACTGGAATTAAAATATCATTTTAAACAGTTCTCGCTTAACATAATTTTTGTTGATGTTTTGAAATTTACCAAGCATACATGCCATATTTCCAGCCACCCAGATAGGGGGATTTGGCTTTAAAAAGCAGGGGATTTGGACCAAAAGTAGGGGGATTTTTAAGTAAGCAAGCACAAACCACTCTTAATCTTAAAATGATGCAAACATATTATTAAATTTCCCCCATTTTATTATGAAAATGAACATTTCTACAAGATCATTTGATATTTTCAAGTTTTAATATACTTGACTGTAAAAGAATAATATGTAAACAATTGCAAATAAACATAGGTACTTTAAATATTTGATGTAATCCCTGTAAAACAAATATAATTAATTGCATGTATATCATTTAAAATACATTTTTATATCAGATATATATTGAATCATTTTAGTACAAATAAACTTAAATTTGATGCATTCAAAATCATTAAAATAAATATACTTTAACAGCCAAATTTTTTCTTAAATGAAAGGTAAAGATTTTTTTCTTTAAATGAAAAGAATCAACATTTTCACGGAGAATTTTTGTAGCCATAGAAAGGTGAAATAAAATAATGCTGCCTTAAAAAATTTCTGTTGACACTTCATAAACAGTAAAAAAAAATCTGTCACAAATCCTCAGGTCATGTACTTCACACCTCAGTGTTTGTTGCTTACCGTGAGACAAAGCTAGTTTATATTATTTTTGCAACAACATAGATCACAGTTACATAAAAAATAATAGTTTCAAACATTGCTTATCTGTGATTCTTTGAGATTCTATTGCCTGATCATTATTTTTTTATCTGCACTTATGTTTATTGGTAAAATTGATGCTTTAATTTTTTTGTTGGTTGAATTTTTGAAAATCGGGGGATTTCGATCCCACGGCGGGAGATCGGGAGACATGGTCGAAAATCGGGGGTTTTTGTCCCCGGGCGGGGGATATGGCATGTATGACCAAGTTATGTTAAAATTTGAAATAATAAATTTAAATAGATACATTTACTCATTCATCTTTGAGTTTGTTTTTTTTCTCTGATTTAAAGTTCCATGAATGGTTCAGTTTATATTTTTGAATCATTTAGCCATGGGCAAGCATCATGGCTTTGATTTGGCATAAATAGTATTTTATTTTCCCCTGAAACAAAAAAAAAATTTTTTGAGTCCTGAAGATCTTTATGATGAACTCTTAACTGATAACCCAGGTTTAAATGAATGAATATAAAATTACTAGCTGCAACAAATAGAAAAACCAAATTTATAAGGTTTATAAATCCAGTCTAAAAATAATATTTCTATGCTTATTCATCATTCCTGGACCTCTATCTATTTGATGAACTTCTTAAACTGGTAATTTTCCATCTTATTCTATTCAATTTATAAATATAAAAGATATATTTTTGTTGTTAAATATACATAATGACTAAGATAGACAGATAAGAACAAACAAATTAGTAGACATGAGTTACATCCCTTGAAAAGAAAAAAACCTAAAACCCCAAAGAAATTGCCTTGAAATTTTGCCTTTTGCTTTCAAACATTTAGCTTTACATTGGTATATCATTTATCCATGGACCTTTTTTGCACACAAAAGGTCCCCAGGGACTGTACTATAGCCTGTGATATTTAGTGCAACATGTGATATATAGCTTATAAGAAGTATACTCTGTTATTCAAGAAATGAATTGTGGAAAAATTTCAATATAGTAGAGATTTCACAGTGTATTAAGCTGTTCAATAATTAGGGGAGAAGATAAGCATTTGTTTTTTTTAAGAAACCACAATGCTTAAGTTCTGTTTTTAGTATATTTACTTAAATAACATCAAAATTTCCTAAATGTCTACTATTGACAAGTATAATCATTGAAATTTATTGATAAAACACTAAAGAAATTACTGAGAAATTAAAATCATGTATATACTCTTTGCAGAACAAAGCATTTATATACAATTATTGAAGATTAAGTATGCAATATAAGTAAAATACAGTATGCGAGAATAGTGAAAAGTGTTACACTCCTGACATTTTTTTCTTTTTCGGCAATTGTAGTTAACTTTGTTTTATTCTCAGCAGACTAATAAACAATTGAAGTTAGAGCTGTCATTCATTCAGTGCAAAGCATATCAACGATATATCGATATCAGATGACTAAAATCAACGATACACCGATATATCGATAATAACCTATTATTACTTGTCTGTCATTCACTTTCATACCTGTTTAAATTATTTCAGTTCAAAACATGTTCTGTACAGTGTATTGTCCACTGCATTTTTTTTCCAGACAATTTTTTTTGTCACCATTGCTATGAAATATTTCCACTATATAACAAAAGCATAACATTAGACATAAATAACTGTTCTGTATATGTTTTGGGTGATTTTTTTTTATAATTTCTAGACATTTAATTACTTATTTTTTGAAATGTGTATCGATTATTGATTGGCAAAAAAATATCAATGATACATCGATATTGTCTCTATCGATGACAGCTCTAATTGAAGTATTTTAATTACTTTTCATTAAAAAATATTTTAAATCAATATTTTAAGATATAAAGTCTCTTGCCTGAATGTGTCAGGAGTGTAACACTCAAATGTTAAAGTGAAATTGTGCATTTTTTTGTGAAATAGATTCTTCATGGTCATTTTGATATTTTTCTATTGGTTAGGAACAGAAGCTTAATTAATGTTTATAACCTTTATTTCCATTTTTTTTGCTAATTGTTTACTCGTTAGAAACTTGTTTTTGGTTTTAAGTATAACTTCATATCTTTGCTCCAAGAATTATTCTCAAATGTAATAACCTATCAGTATGTTTTCAAACATATCAGTGTTGTTCTGTACATGTGTTTCTTATGTTATTTTTACCTCCAATGTTTCTGTAAAGAACTATTATCATTTAAACAAGTTATCCTAGTCATGTCAGGAGTGTAACGTTTTTTTTATAAAATACAAGTTAAATTTGACTGCTTATTTTTTTTTTTTTTTGAGAGGTTGAAATATTTGGAAACTTTATTTTACATCAAAGTAATTATTAATACATACTAACAACTACTTTTTTATTTCTCTGCCCAATTTTTTCCAACTTTAGAAAAACTTGATGTTCTTACATTAAAAAAAATCAGACTTTAGTAACTTTAGTAATGGTATATTTTTTATCCGTACATCACTACTGTTACTAAAATATAACAACACATATGATTTAATTAACATTGGGAAGTATAGTGACACAATTTTATAAAGCATTGGTTTTGTTATTTTTTGTTAATAAATTGAAATAAAATGTTGATTTATACAATTTGTGTTCTGTTAGATAAAATCCAATTACTCGGCATTAAACATCAATCAATATCACATGGTTTTAGGTGAAAAATAAGTAGAAATATGAAATTTCAATTTTGACCCCATTTTCAAATTTTTGCCTCATTATTTTTGACTTTACCCATATGTGTATGGCAAAAACTTAAAAATCTACTTTGGAAAAACCCAAATAGCTAGAGTTAAGATATTAAGCATGAAACATCTTTAAGTAAATATCTACAAAGTTTGTTAAAATAAACGCCCGGGGGTCAAAACTGGCCCTGCCCCAGGGGTGTCATTGTTTTTAACTATATGTGTATAGTAAAAACTTTAAAAATCTTCTTTTAAAAAAGCCAATGAGCTAGAACTTAGATGTTTAGCATGAAACATCTTCTTATGGGTGTCTATTCAAGTCTGTTCAAATAAACAAATAAAAGCCCTTGGGTAAAAATTGGCCCGGGGGTGGGGGGGGGGGGCTATATACAGGTGAGCGACCTCAGGGCCATCATGGCCCTCTTGTTTGTATGAGGGGGTGAAGCCCTTAATTAATTCCTCACCAGTGACCTTTAAGCTGTGGTCTCCCTTACTCCCAGCAGAGCCCATAACTTGTCATTTATCAAAGAAATTTGAAATAACTAGGCACAAATGTTTGTTATAATAAGACGATGTGTCAGGCACAACAACCAGACCCCTACCTCTAGGGTGAAGATCGCACTTGCTCATTCAAGGTCTACATTGTCTTTTTGAGGGTATATGTCCTGTCCGGGCTATAACTTTCTTATCTTTAAAGGGATTTTGTAAATGCTTGCCATAATTGTTCACAATAATGAGACGATGTGTCATGCGCAACAGTTGGTCACCTACCTTCAAGGTCAGGGTCTTACTTGGAGGTCAAATATTAACATAGTCTGTTAAAGGGTATATTTTGTGTCCGGTCCATAACTTTTTCATTTATAAAAGGAATCTGAAATAACTTGGCACAAAAGTCTGTTATAAGACAATGTGTCATGCGCATCAATCAGATCCCTACCTCCAGGGTCAAGTTCGCACTTGCTCATTCAAGGTCAACATTGTCTAATGACAATATGAAAATTCCAGTAAAATGAGCTTTTTTTGATACATTCCTGCATTTTGGGCAAACATAGCATTCGCACAAAAGTTATACCATTAGATGTGGAATTTATTTTGGAATAAAATGGTATATATTTCGTGTTATTTGGAGTGTATATAAGACTGTACGTGTGATTATCACGGCACTTCTCCCAACTGTGTGATTATAACAAAACAAATTATCATGGCACTACTGATTAATTATAGAGACATGTGTGTAATTATCATGGCACTACCCATAATCATGCCCTTATAATGCGGCCGCATTATAATTACATGCTGGTCACAGAACAGAACCACTTTATAAATTGTTAAAACTATTGAACACAGTCAACGTTGCTTGAATAGTCAGTAGAACCCTGTGACCATAAATATCTATTAATAACCTTCTCATTTAACTCCTTTCCCTTTTACATATGTATTTATTTATGTTCCAAGCACTAAATATATTGGGACCGCCTCCGTGGTCGAGGGGTTAGAGTCGATGACTTCTAATTCAGGTACCTCTCTGGCGTGGGTTCGATCCCCGGGAGATGCTTTAGTAGTTTAGCGCGGAGGAAGGTAGTCTAGTACTGGTGTAACTCTCCAGGAACGATGGTTAGGATACTACCCGCCTATATGACTGAAATACTGTTGGAAAAAGGCGTAAAATTAAAAACAAACAAACAAACTAAATATATTAATATATAACTTTATATATGTATACAGTCTTAATAAAAAATACACTCATTAGCAGTTATTTAATGAAATAGTTTTATAAAGGGGTTGTAACTTTGTCAATAATCAATTATATTCAGTTTTAACCTCTGAAATTAAACAATTTTGGCTCATTTGTACATATATTTTTACCAGGGCTGGGGCGAGTATCCGAGTACTCGGATAATCACGAATCAAAGTAAAAAATCGAGTTTGAATATTCGTAAGCCCAGAGATCGTAGATCGCGATCTAATTTTTTTATATACATTCACTGTTTCTCACACTCATAAAATCGAGCAAATTACGATTTGAGTATAAATTATATGAAGTTTACCTAAATACAACTTGCCGGTTAAAGACTATGTACAATGATGCTTAGCTAGGAATTAATTGGTTTAAAAAAATACTCATCCAAAGAATAAAAACATAAACCTAGTTTATATTTTATATGTTTAATGTATAGTATTGTTTTTTTTTTTTTTTAAATAAACATGTTTTTATAATTAATGTGCATGTTTTTATGGGTGTCTTGATAACAAAAGATTTGTGGTTCGATTTGTGAATTGTAAGTCCTGAATCGTGGTTCGGATCGGATCGTCACTTATTCGACGATCCACACCCCTAATTTTTACTGTTGCCAATTTATCATCCTAATCACAACTGTGTTTTGTCTTATACTTAACCTGTTGGATGCAATTTGTGTATACAATGTTCTTAAATGGAATTCACGGATTGTTGAAAAAAAAACTAAAAACCAAAAGAAATGTAAAAATTGCCTTTTCCAGTATCTACACCCACAGAGCGCTACGCTATTATGCTAATAAGAGATTTATCAGGTGGTAAAAGATTTAGGTGATAAATAATGTGCTTGATTACAAGAATTATCAATACCCCTATTTGTCAATAAACTGATATAAGGAATGGCTTAAACACTCCAAACAGTATGTTTCGTGTATTAGTGCATAATGTTAACTTTCAACCTAGCGATTTTAAGAGAATTGACATCTCCATGCATCAATACGTATTATGCATATTACCAACCGGATATGACACTGATAAATTCAATCTAGGTAAAAAAAAATCGTTATCATTAAATAATACTTTTCGACATGAACAAGAATAATTTATGTAAGAAATTTTTTTTTTTAATTATGTAAAGACGCTTTTTTTCCAATTCCCTGCAATTACTTTTTTCAAGATGGTGTGTTGGATAACAAACATAATTATATGTAATGAAGAAGGACAATTATTTGACACAATTCATTTTTGTAAACAATATTATTAATTCTAGTATGTTTGGTTAAATTATAAAACCATGCTGCGATTATCACGGCTTATCACGGCTTTACTGTCACAGGCGGTTTATACATTTTTTTCAGAGATCAAGTTTGTTTAACATCAAAACATTATAAAAGTTTGCATAAACCTTCAGCTGAAGACACAATCATGTAGACACAAAATTGAATTCAGAGAAAATAGTTTTATACTTTATTCTAATTTCTAATACAAATTATACATTTCGGCAATATAAGTATCTCTCTCTGATTGCAAATTTATTGATAATCATTATTTAATTTAATAACTTACGTTCAAACGCTTCGATTTGTTAAGATAATGATTTTCTAATTTAAAAAAATGACACATCAATGATTGTCTATTTACACCCCTGGCAAAATATAACAAACACACATAGCTATAATCACAACTGTCTTGAACACTAAGTGATTAAAACATAATATAACACATTCTAAAAGTAGATCTTCGAACTAAAACTTTTAAAAAAAATATTTATCAGAACATAATTAAAATTATTCATAACGAAGGTTGTCATAATTATTTAAAAGTCACTGCAATACATGCTTTTTAAAACACTCCCGTGTGTTAGAAAATTAATTAATTCCAACAAAAATTATACTATTAGATGCGGAATCCATTTTGAAATAAAATGGTGTATGATTTAACTACTTTGGAGTAAATTTAAGACCGTACTTGTGATTCTAACGGCACTACCCCTAACCATGTGATTATTACACTGCTGCGTGACACCGGTACTCTACACTTCCTAATTTTTGAGTTATTTCCCTTTGTTAATTTTCATACTTAATTTTTGTCCGGGCCATTTCTCCTAAAGAATAAAAACTATGGACTTAAAACTTCATAGGATGATAGATCTCATTAAGAAGTGCAGTGCACAAGAACTGGTATTCTGCATTTCTTATTTTTTGAGTTATTGCCCCTTTGTTAATTTTCATACTTTATTTTTGTCCAGGCCATTTCTCATAAATTATAAAAGCTATAGACTTGAAACTTCATAGGATGATAGAAACTGCTGCTCTGCATTTCTTGTTTTTTGAGTTATTGCCCTTTGTTAATTTTCATATTTCATTATTGTCATGGCCATTTCTCCTAAACTATATTGACGACACATCCGACTTGCGGAGCTCTAGTTTTATATTCTTTGGAATATAAGATACCCTATAGAATAGGGTATACCCAGAGCAATAGAATAGATACCCAGAGCTGCACATATTCAAAAATTTCATTATTATGATAGTTGTAAAATATTCAACACTTTCATTAATATGAAAGTGAGAAAAATATCTTCATGTACATGTTTAGGTATCTTCACTCAGCATAAAACGATGTAGAAATTTTAGTGATCTTCCTATGTTTTATTTTACAGATTGAAGTAGATGTACTCGTTTTGCCACATTAAAACTTTTCAAATGTTTATTTGGAAGGAAAACAAAAATTATAAATTCTGAGTGGGTAAAGGATTCTATGAGGATAGGAGAAGTTCAAAACATGGTAAGATAATGAAAGTAATAACAGGATAAAAGTCAAGGGCACAGAATTGTAAAGAGCAACATATATATCCTTTCATTGCATATATTGCAAATATAGCAGAATTTGCCATTACTCAAAAAATACTGGACATGTTTTTGTGAAACATGAGTTTTGGATAGAAGCCAGTATAGAAATTATTTACCTTATATTTTTATGGCATGAAATTAGTAACTGTAGCTACATTAGATATAGATTTATGGAAGTAAAGACATAATCTACATCATTTTGTATTTGAAAACAACATTTAGCTGCTTTTATTACAAACAGACTTTACATTTGCAAAGTCAATCTGAATTTTTGCTATACAAACATTTACTCGTCTTTTGTCCATAAGTTTTAGATTACATGTAAGTCTATTACCATCAGGTTTTTATGCCCCTGAATAAATAGAGGTTTTTTAGTCTGTCTTTGCGACCGAAATAGGATAATGGTACATTGTACAGATGCATGAACCTTCATTACCACTACCCACTATACTTGTGAAAAGCATTATGTCAAGGTCACTAGTAAGTACTGGTAGTATAAGATTACTGTCCTCATTTGTGATACACAATGACCTCACTTGGAGGTAAGCACACTGTCCTGACATGTAAGAACACTTATACAAGTTACTGTAGTTGTCATTTTTCATACTGAATAGAAATGTAGCAGCAAGTTTTAAAGAAGATATTGTGTCACCTACATCATTTTAAGAGAGATGGTGTTTTAAAGATTAAGAAAATGTTAAGACTTGTTCATTATTTGTGCAACCGCCTCCGTGGTCGAGGGGTTAGAGTCGATGACTTCTAATCCAGTTACCTCTCTGGCGTGGGTTTGATCCCCGGGAGATGCTTTGGTAGTTTAGCGCGGAGGAAGGTAGTCTAGTACTGGTGTAACTCTCCAGGAACGATGGTTAGGAAACTACCCGCCTATATGACTGAAATACTGTTGAAAAAGGCGTAAAATGAAACAAACAAACAAACAAACATTATTTGTGCAAATCTTGGTAGTTTTGTTAACCCATTTGTAATGCAAGTTGAGTTATTGGCATAGTGAAAAATCATTGATATAACCTGTTATTGTACAACAGCATGAAATAATGGCCCACATGTCTCTTTTTTTCAATTTTCCAGCTTATTCAACAGAAGAACATGGCATATAAATTAATTTTTTTCTTTGCAGAAAAACAGTTCATGACACCTGTTCAAAAAGTGCGATAGAGAAAATTTTTTAGAAAAAATTCTGTTGTTGGAAGGTGCCAGGCAAACTGGAGTGCTTAAATGCCCAGGAGATATAACCAGTATTGGCCCTTTATCAATGGACGAAACTGAATTACGCAGTGCATAATATCCAGAAAAAAAGAGAGAGAAAAAACAGACCTTAGTAAAACTTTAAAACATATCTTTTCTGTCTTAAAAGGCTGTTATGATTCACTTCATAAGATAGAGATTAACTCTGATTTTGTATAAATAATAGTGTTAATTTCAAATGTGAAGCACTCATTGCTTTTGTATGTTTTTAAAAAACATATTATAGATAATTTTTGTGGTGATGAGCTTTTGTATGTTTTTGGAGAACATATTCTAGATAATTTTCTTGGTGATGAAAATTGTTTCAACCCTTACAGTGAAGTTGCTTAAGTAGATTGTCAGTCAATTACCTTATTTTTATATGTCAGATGCCTTGTTTAGGCCTTTTGAAATATCACTCATTTCCTTACTTAAAGCTGCATCCCTCCAGATGAGCCAAAATATTTCAAGAAAATATAATATTTGGAAACTCCGAAAACACACTAAGATTGTAAAAATAGTATTTAGATTCAAGATTCAAGTAATGTTTAATATCTTTTGTGTGATTAATGATTGGTTTTGCAGTATTAATCACCATATTTCTGCTGCGTTATTAACACATTAAAGGGATACTCAGGCAAAATAATGAAAAAAAAATTAAAATGATCTTGTGTACTCAAATCACGTTAAATTGACATTTCTTAAAGTCCCAGCATAAATTTCTGTATTAAATCTACATATTTTTGATTTGCAGTGTAAATATATCTATGTATGTTGAACAAAATCTAGACGCCAACAGAATCACTGAATACTTTTAAAACAAATCATGTGACTTGAATAAACCCTTGAAGTTACAATAACAGATATTGTGGATATTGTATGATTGAAACAAGTCCAAGTCATTCATTTTGGCATGTTCTTTAACGTTTCCAGAGTTCACTGTGACAACTAATGTGAAATCTTAGCGCTCTAACCTGACCCAAGCGGGTCAAGTTAGGAAACTACAATTTTATTCTTTATATGGAGAAAAAGTTTTTGTTCCTTTGACTGTCTAGTGCATTCATTTTGAGGATATTTACAGAATAATGAATGAAAAATTCAAAACTAAGAAATGAAAATTTTGCCTGTGTCTCCCTTTGAGGGCTATCTTTGCATATTTCGACCCATTTTTGTAATTTATGTGGATTGTAAGTGCCGTTTGCAATATATAAATTATTTTCTTTGTTCATGTTGCAATATTTTACTTTTAAACATATTTTCTAAATTATCATGAAAATTAAGATAAATCTGGAGGCGTGCTGCTTTAAAACATTGCTAAGATGAATCCGCATTGATTGCCACTGGTCTAGACAAAAACAATATTTTTTGGTGGTTGTGACAAAATAAAGTGCTATACATTTGGATGTGCTATACATATTCCAACCAAAAAGTGTTAACATTATTTAAAAAGAAACAAAATAATCTTAAAGAATTTGAAATTGTTGGTGCTATTTTCTTACTGTTTACCATGAAATGTATTTTTACACTGTAAATGAACACAGTTACTTGAAATATTTTTTACTGTTAATACTGTATTAGTATACCACTTTAAACCAAGTAAATCAATTACAAAGTCTCTCTGGACATATATTTTTATAAATAAGCTTTTTAGAATAATGTATATGTGTTCAACTTAACACCAAGTAAATATAATGCAAAGTCTAGCTGGACATATGTATTAATGCATCAGCTGTTTAGTAGTTATTTTACAATAGCCATTGCTTTGGAGACTCAATAAACCTATCAATTTTTCATTTTTGTTGCACAATAGCAAAGGAACTAAAGTCTACAAACAGTATATGAGATGTTTGCATTTATTTCAATCATCTGTCAATGAAATTGAACAAATAAAGAGTTTTTAGAGAACTTTTTTTCAATAAATATCACATCATATTTTCTGTAGGCCAAACCATATATTAAAGACATGGAATGTGTTTATGATTTTAAAATCATTGGGAGTTGATTTCAGATATTCAAGCAGACTTTTTTGTGGGTAATTCTAGGTTTTGATGTTAATTAAGGATTGTTGTTTTGTCAAGACTGTTTATCATTTTATGAAGTCCTCATTTGTGTTACACACTGTCCTCAGTTAGAGGCATACACCCTTGTCCTCATTTGTAAGTACACAGAATACATATAATATATTTGTTGTTATTTTTTTGTGTGTATGTGAAATCAAATGATTTCTTTAAGTGAGCATCAGGTGTGATATTTTCACAACTGGCCATAAGTTGAAATAGAAACATCTGGTGTTCACCAAAGGGAATTATTTAGGTACCAAAAATTCAGTTATTTCTGGCATTTAATGGTCATTTTCAAAAACAGTCAGTTAGTTCTGTAAAATTTTCGAGTTGTGCTTATGGCAGTAATTGTGTTAATTTGCATGATGATTGCTTATTTAAACATGAGAAAAAAAATTGAAACATTTATTGTTACTTTTTAAGGCGTACCTAGATATGAAGCAAATCTATTCAATGTAATAATAATATATCCAGTAAAAAAAACATCAAAAATATGAGATGTGACTTTAAATTTGGGTTTAATTGTCATAATTTTCACATTTATGCACGGATTTATTTAATACTTGGAGAAAACAAGACTTGCAATAAAGGCAATACTTATTGAATAAATTAAATGTGGTCTTGACCTTCAATTGACCTTGACAGTCAAGGTCAAATTAGTGAAATTCTCTTATTTTTTCATAGCAATATTATTTGGATCATGGACACATCACCTGAAATGTTCTTGCATATTAGAGATAATTTTCTACTGTTTTCACTGGTGCTAGAATAACATGTCTTTCACCCCCTTTGTACACAACTCTCATGCTTTAAATGATTTTATTATCATGTACGTTTAATGAATGAGTTAAATGCTTAGTTTGACACATCATTTTTGCGCCATGTATGAACCTTTAAATTCACTGTACTATAAGAAAAGATTGCTGTATTAGTTTCTGCAATTTCTTTCCAAAATATTATTCTTATGTGATATGCAAGAAAAAGAACAAACAGTGGCTGCCCAAGAAAAAAAAAATTAAAACTGGTACAGACAGAGATATCCAGCTCTTGGGTAACTGTCCTACCTGACCTGAAACAGTTACCCTCGAGCCAAGCTGGATATTCCTGTCAATATTGGCTACTAGAGTAAGGTTCTTTTATAAACAACTTTCTAAAAGTATATAGACAGAGAACAGAGTAATTAAATAAATATACTTTTAGAAAGTTGTTTATAATTTGCAATGTTGTTTGAAATCCTACGAATATGAATAAATAATTGTATTAGATGTGTTGAAAGTATTGTATTAGATGTTCTAAAAGTATATAGACAGAGAACAGAGTAATTAAATAAATATACTTTTAGAAAGTTGTTTTAGGGGCGTCCGTGGCCGAGTGGTTAAGGTTGTTGACTTCAAACCACTTGCCCCTCACGGCTGTAGGTTCGAATCCCGACAGGGACTTTGGATTCTTTCATGTGAGGAAGCTATCCAGCTAGCTTACGGAACGTCGGTGGTTCTACTCAGGTGCCCGTTCGTGCCTGAAATAATGCAAGGAAGGGCACCTGAGGTCTTCCTCTACCAGTAAAGCTGGAACGTCGCGATATGACCTATACTGTGTCGATGTGACTTAAAACCCAAAAAAAAAAAAAAAAAAAAAAGAAAGAAAGTTGTTTATAATTTGCAATGTTGTTTGAAATCCTACGAATATGAATAAATAATTGTATTAGATGTGTTGAAAGTCTGTTTGCTTGTTTCTCAAATAGTTGCCCTACTTTGGATATTTTGGTATCACATATTTTTGCCATATTAGCCCAAGATGAAGTGATTTTGTTTTGGTGCAAGTGATTTTAGTCATTTTCACAGCCGTGGACTGAAAAATATGACTTCAAATTTTATCATTTTTGGAGAGTTTCTAGTGGTACTGGATGGGGCCCATCAAACCTGAACAACCACCAAACCCGGACGGCCTCGAAAATGCCTGATTTAGTTTTTAGCTCGACTATTAGAAGAATATGAGAGCTATTGTAGTCACCCCGGCGTCCGCGTCTGCGTTGATTAAAGTTTTTGGTAAAGTCACATATCTCAATTATTACTTGAGATATTCAATTGAAACTTACAATACTTATTCATAGTAACAAGGTACATCAGATTGACAAGTTGGATAACTCTACCTACAATATTGACAGAATTATGCCCCTTTTTAACTTAGAAATTTTGGTTAAAGTTTTTTGTAAAGTCAAATATCTCAATTATTGCTTTAGATATTCAATTGAAACTTACAATACTTATTTATAGTAACAAGGTACACATCAGATTGACAAGTTGGATAACTCTGCCTACAATATTGACAAAATTATGCCCCTTTGGAACTTAGAATTTTGGTTAAAGTTTTTTTATAAAGTCAAATATCTTAATTATTGCTTGAGATATTCAATTGAAATTTAAAATGCTTTTTTATAGTAACAATGTACATCAGTTTGCAAAATTGCATAACTCTGCCTGCAATATTTTCAGAATTATTTTCCCCTCTGAAACTTAGAAATTTTGGTTAAAGGTTAAAGGTTTCAAAGATATTTACTTGAAACTTTACACATGTACTTAGGGTCATAATTGGAAGGTCATAATTGTATGTCACTGACCAAGTTCCATAACTCTATCTTGCATTAGGGCTGATTCATATCCCCTTTTCTACTTAGTCTCTTGGTTAATATTTACATGCAAGTTTTACATATCTCAATAACTATTAAAGATATTTATTTAAAACTTCACATATGATTTAGGGTCATTATTGTAGGTCACTGACAAAGATCCATAATTCTATCTTGCATTTAGGCGGATTTTTCTCCCCTTTTTTCAACTTGAAAATTCATGGTAAAGTTTTGCTTGTAAGCTGTTATATCAACAACTACTGAAGGGTTTGTGCCTTTTTTGGGACAATTTTATGCATTCATTATAATAAAGCAGTGATTTACTTGATAAATATCTTAATAACAAGCCTTTGTACCTTTTCTGTCAAATTTATGTATTCATAGGTAATTAATATTATTATACTCAATAAAACACCCTTGTGATATTTCCTTCCGAATAGTAAAGCCAATACTGTATAATAAGACCCTCTCTAAGACCTACAAGTAAAATGGTTTCCTGCGGTGAACATTTTAATGATATAAAAGATATTTCATTTAACTATTTTCAACATTTTTTTTTTGGGGGGGGGGATAAATAAACTTTCTTTCTTTCTTTTTAAGACATGATTAAATAGGCCTAGCATTTTATGAATAATTCCGAGCAAAAAATAGATAAAGTAAACACACAAGTTTACGCAGAAAATATCTCTATTTATTATGGCAGATGCCACTACGAATATTTTAATTTTGTAGATTTTCAGTTTAAACAATTTATTGTTTGTAAAATTTGAGATAGATATTAAAGAAACATTGATAATTTTCAAACATATCATTCAAGTAAAATAATTATAGAAAATTAGAAATATCACGTAATAGTTTTATGTTCTCAATAGGTATAATTCGGACTAATTCCCTACAGGTAAATCCGTAACGTAACATGCAAACGGTATTTAGCTGGGTTTTCGAAAAGGTCAATTAACCAATCATATCCGGTTTACAGATCACATGCTCCTCCATGTACCGAAAACAGGTCACGTGCTCCTCCATGCCTTAAAAGTTAAACGCGTACAAATACCCTGCGGTCTCCAGACCGCAGGGAATAACATGAATTTATAAAAAAAAATTAGCTTTTTTGTGAACTTAAAAAATTTAACATTATCAAGGCTCTTTTACTATTAAGCACTTAGAATAGTCGAGCATGCTGTCCTACTGACAGCTCTTGTTTATTTGTTCAGTGGTTCTCGATCGATCGGTCCCATTTTTTTCATTAACAATAAACTTCCTGTTTCTTCTATAATTAAGTACATGTACCTATCTGTCTAGAATTAAAATGCCTGGACTATTTGTGTCACATACGTTTTACATGTGGTGCATTTTTACCGGTGTTGTACAAGAGGTGACAAGTATTGCTCTCTTGACGTCCAAATGTTAAACGTCATCGTTCTTGAAATAGACATTAAACATGCTTTACTTTTCTCAGGAAAATAAACATAGTTCACACCTAAAGCCCTAAAACAAAAATAAGACAGTTTATTGAAACAGTTCTAAGTCACATATAGAATTAAGACTTTATATAAAAAAACATGTTTGATATACAAAGCAAAGCCATATGTGAAATACGAGCCAAAGCTCTGTTAACATGCACTGTCTGTTAAGACGGTGCTACAATCTGGTGACGACTGTTAAGTATGGGCAACATGGTACAAACTGTATGCAACATGATTCATAGCGTGACCTATTTAGTAATTTTCAAATTTCGTTAGACTTGTTTTTCATTGATCTCTTAGATTTAAATCCACTCCGCCAAATAACTGTAAAATATTCTGTACACATATACTATTTAAAAACGTAGCTTCTCTGTTTTATATAGCATAAACAATTATTCTTTAATGTATGAATAGTCATACATTATTTTACTATATCACCCTTTTCACTGGTGTTTGTCCGAGGCATAAACGAAGCGGAAGTTTTCATTTTTTATGTTGGAAATTCCCCAAAGAAATGTTCTCATGTTCTAGTCTGTTTAAATGTCCTCAATTAATCGAGTCTGCGACTCTTCAAAACCCAGTATAGATTTGTACTCTATAAGCAACTGCTTATATTTTCTGATAAATTTGATAATCTCAGGCTTTGACAGAGAATCTTTCAACTCGCTTCTTCAACCGCGAATCCCGCCCGTTAGCGTGAAAAATCAATTTAATTAAGCAGCGCGCATTTTACGTTAAAATAACTTCACACTGACGTTCGAATCTTTCAGCCTTAGACCCGCATGTCCACGGATTCTTGTTAATTTTCTTAAATACAATAAGCAAAATTTGTTAATAACACAATAGCAATAAGACAATATATACGGGAAAATCTATAAATAATTATATTCTGTATGTGAATTAATACTTATAGTTACAATAGTTTAACTTTTCAGAAATTGTTAAATATCGATCAGAAATGTTTTTTCTCATCTGAAGACATGCATTTGCTTGCGTGTTTAAATGTCCTCAGTCGTATGTGTTACTGAGAATGTATATACATGTATGTATCATTCTGCCAAGAAAGTCCAACAACTAAATTGGGCAGCGGGATATCCATATTCTTTAAATTTACTGTAACATTAACGATAACAACGCACCACATTCGTAAATTAAATAAATAATACCGTCAAAACAGTGTAAAAGTCGAACGACTAGGGAAGATGGACAGTGCGATCTTTCAACATAGTACACTCTTTGAAATGACCTTTTCGTTGGTGTTAAGTTATCTCTTTTTAATGATTTATCATTTTAAAGTAAACGTCTACATTTATTGATATTTATGGTTTTATTCCGCCATTTTTACAATGAGTAAAGACGAACAAATACTTAAATTTATATACATGATGCATATCCGGATAGATCTATATCTTTTCTGTTTTATAGGCTATGAAACATTGTTCTAATTAAAGTACTGGCATATACCGCATCCGTGGTCGAGGGGTTAGAGTCGATGACTTCTAATCCAGTTACCTCTCTGGCGTGGGTTCGATCCCCGGGAGATGCTTTGGTAGTTTAGCGCGGAGGAAGGTATTCTAGTACTGGTGTAACTCTCCAGGAACGATGGTTAGGAAACTACCCGCCTACATGACTGAAATACTGTTGGGAAAAGGCGTAAAATGGAACAAAAAAGCAAACAAAGTACTGGCCCGATGGCTCACTGCTGGTAGAGCGACATTCTTGGGTACAAAGGGACCGCGGGTTCAATCATATTGACACTCCAAAGTCGCAAAAATAGTACTTTCATTTCTTTTGCTTGGTGCTCATCCTGAAAATAGAGAAACTTGATTCTCTTCTCATTCGTGGCGATGGATTCAATCAGGAATCAGGTCTCGAAATATTTAACAATCGACCTAAATTAAAATACGAGAAATAACTTAATAACAGATAAAGAGCAAAATAAGACGTACGAAGGTCCAAGGTTTAAGTAATTTTGGAAAGTATTTTGAGACTGCTATGACAAAATGTCAAACATGAAATTTTATACATTCATTACTTGATTAAGAAACATTTTTAAATTTAACATTCTAGAAAGCGGAATATTTTCGTGTTTGGATTTTGTAAAATTTGAGAATGACTCCTTAGTCCGATCCTAACCGAACCTTAATCCCGATCTGCCAACTACTGTTTTACCAGGAATGATTATTTCAGACATAAAGTTGATCTTTAATTCATTTTGTTCATCTTAACCCTTTACCCCATGAGCATATTGTGAAAATGGCCGTTTTCATTGAAAAGCCTCCTGTTACAAGTTCAATCTGCTATGAAACAATGAAAAATGTTTCAATACTGATGAAACTTGGCACAAATGTGCCTAGACCATAGCCTCTGTACCAGCATGCTCAATCGTAAATTTCCTGTTACCATGGCACCCTGGAGACGTCTCAAAATTGCCAAAAATCACTATTTTGCATTGTTTTTTTTTTCATTAATTCTGATTTCAAAGTGCTGCAACTTCTCAATGAATTGAAATAGGGTAAAGGGCTTTTCAGCGTCGGTTACTAGTTACCCTAAGATCGACCTGTGGCCATTTTTATTCTGTCACATGTCTAAAATTTTCTTGGCGATGAGAGGGGCTACCGCCCCCCTTCAAATCCCCCAAACAGAAGGGGGCACATCCCCCGTCTAGCAACCCCCTGATGTACCTTTTTGATGGGGGCGGCGCCGAAAAATGGTCACTTTTTAAACAATATTTCTCAAACGAAAACAGTGTTTGGGCCTTAATAGGGCATTTTTTCACTGTT